TCTTTCCATCTTACGTTTTCTTCAGTTTCTTTCTTCAGTGTTCTATGGTTTTTCATTGTAGAAGTCTTTCACCTCCTTGGTTAGATTTATTCCTAGGTGTTTTATAATTTTTTCAAGGCTATTTTGAGTGGAATTGATTTCCTGATATCTTTCTCTGAATAGTTATTATTGATATAAAGGAAAGCTATTGACTTTTGTATGTTAATTTTGTAAACTGCTACTTTGCTGAATTTGTTTATTATCACTAGAAGTCTTCTGGTAGAGTTCTGAGTCTTCTAGATATAGGATCATGTCATCAGCAAGCATAGATAACTCGACTTTTTTTCCATTTGTTCCCCTTTAATATCATTCTCTTGCCTGATTGCTCTGGCTAGGATTTCAAGAACTATATTGACAGGAAATTAATTGAAAAAAATAACTGGGTAAATGACAGAAAGATCAGTAGAGTAGAGGGAATGGAAAGAAGAGGTACTTGGGACTGAATTAGAGCAAAATATATTTCATGCTTTTATAATTATGTTAAAATGGATTCTTCTGTCATGTATAATTAAAAAGAATCAATCAACAAAAATAAATAAATTAATTAATTAAAAATGCCTCCCTTCAGAAAAAAGAACTATATTGAATGGGAGCAGTGAATGTCTTATTCTGAGTTTTAAAGGAAATGCTTTCAGTTTTCCTCCATTCACTATTATGCTGGCTTTGTTTTTGTTATATATAGCCTTTATGATGTTGAGGTAAGTTCTTTCTATCCCTAGTTCCTTCATTGTTTTTATCATGAATGGGTGCTAAGCTTTTTCAGAGCTTTCTGTGCATCTATTGAGTTGACTCCTTGATTTTTGTCATTAATTGTTTTTAAGGTGGTGAATTACATGTATTGATTTGAGTTGTTAACCATTCTTCCAACCCTGGGATAAAACCAACTTGGTCATGACGGACAATCTTCTTAATATGCTCTTGAACACAATTTGCTAATAATTCACTAGGGATTTTTGCATCTAAGTTCATCAAGCATATTGGTCTGTAATTTTCTTTCTTTGATGTATCCTTTTATCTGATTTTGGTATGAGGATAAAACTGGCTTTATTGAATGAATTTGGAAGTACTCCATCACTTTCTATTTATTGGACAAATTTGAGGAGCATTGGGATTAGTTCTTCTTTAAAGGTCTGGTAGAATATAGCTGAGAATCTATCTGGTTTAGGGCTTTTCTTTTTGGAAGATTTTTTATTACTGCTTCTATCTCATTGCTAGCTGTTGGTCTATTTAGTTTTTTTATGTTCTCCAGATTCAGTTTTGACAGGTCTTGTGTTTGAAAATGTATCATTTTATTTTTGGTTTTCCAATTTATTGGAGTATAAACTTTTAAAATATTCCTTAATAATCCTCTGGATTTCTATGATGTCTTGGATGATTTTTTCTTTTTACATCTCCAATTTTATTAATTTGGATCTTTGCTCATTCTCTTTTGGTTAGTTTTACTAAGGCTTAATCAATCTTGTTTTCTTTTCAAAAAACTAATTGTTCATTACATTTATTCTTTGTATTGTTTTTATATTCTCTATTTCATTGATTTTGGCTCTGATCTTAATTATTTTCTTCCTTCTACTATTTTGGAAATGTTTTGTTCTTGGTTTTTGAGGGCCTTGAGATGCAATATTAGATTTTTTTTTTTTTAATTTGGAATCTTTCTAATTCTTTTACATAGGCACTCATAGTTATAAACTTTCCCTTTAGAACCACTTTCGTAATGTCCTAGAGGATGTTGTGTCATAACTATTCTCTTTTGATTCCAAGAATTTTTGAATTTCTTCCTGATTTCTTCTATCACCCATCATCATTCAAAAGTATATTGTTTAATCTTCATATGTTTATATAGTTTCTGTAGGTTTTTCTTAACATTGATTTGTAATTTCATTCCATTATCATCAGATAAGGTTTTGTTTTTTGTATTTGCTAAAAGTTGCTTTGTGACCTAAAATATGGTCTGTTTTAGAGAAGGATCATGAGCAGATGAAAAGAGAGTATTTGGCTCTTTGGGGATGAAATAGTCCACAAATGTATGTTAATTCCATTTGATTTATATTTTTTAAGTTTGAAGGGTCTTTGCTGAGTTTATATCTGTATAACCTATTTATTGTTGAGAGAGATCTGTTGAAATTACCCTAATATTATTATACTGGGATCTGTCTGAGTCTTTTACTCAAAAAGTGTCTTTTAAGTAAGGTGCACCAACATTTTGGAGATAAATATTTACTATTGTTACAGCTTCTTGTTGGATTGTTCCCTTTACCAGTATAAAGTGTATTATTTTGTCTTTAATGTCTTGAAGTCAGCTCTGTTGAATATAAGAGGAGTTACTCCTGCTTGTTTTGGGGCTCCATTTGCATGGTATATCAATTTCCTTCCTTTCACTTTCAGCTTGTGGCTCTCTTTTCCCATTAATATTTAATTGGGTTTTGTTTTTTAATCCATTCACCTTGGCTATGTCTTTTAATTGGAGAGTTGAAACCATTTACATTCAATATTGTTAGAGAGATGTATCTTAATTCTTGCCATTTTAATTTATTTCTAATGTTTAATTTGGTCCCATTTCTCATTTGCTTAGCTACTCTTCAAATGAGATTTGTTCATTCAAATGGGATTTGTTTTTTCTTATTTCTTCTCTGTGTAGTATATCCTTATTTTCTGTAGTTTAAGCTTAGTAGTTTTAAATTCTTTCAGTTTCTGCTTATCTTAGAAGGATTTTATTTCTTCTTTGATTCTAAAGGATAGCTTTGCTGGATATAGTAATCTTGAATAACGATTCTTTTCTTTCACAGCTTGGAACACATCATTCTAAGCCCTCCTGGATTTTAGAGTTTGTGCTGACAAGTCAGAAGTATTTTGTTTGGCTTGATTCTAAATGTAATCTGATTCCCCAATCCCGTTGAGCCTGTTAAATTTCCATCCTTGTTCTGTATGTTTTAGGCATTTTAATTATAATGTGTCATGGAGTGGTTCATTTCTGATTGCATCAGTTTGGGGTTCTTAAAGTCTGCTGTATCTGGATATTCATCTTATTCTCAAGATTTGGAAATGTTTTTCTTATTTCCCTGAAGAGGTTATCCATGCCATTAGCCTGTATCTCACAACCCCTTTTGATTTCAATGATTCTTAAATTTGGTCTTTTTAAAATCCAAGAGTTCTTGTATTTTCTGGTCATGGTTATTTTAATTTCTTTAATAATTGTCTGAATATTCAAGGCTACTCTCTTTATCTTGTAGCTCTGAGATTCTGTCTTCAGCATGGTATGCTCTTAGACTTTCAACTGAGCATTTTGTGTGTTTATTATATCTTTCATTTCTAAAATTTTTATTTGTTTCTTTTTCGATATCTCTGTCTCCTTATTGAATTCCTCATTTATATCCTGTACTGACTTCGTTAATTCATTCAGTTGTTTTTCTTTGTTCTCTTGAAATTCATTGATCGTTTTTATGCTCGTTCTTTGGTATTTAATCCACTTTATTTATTTATTTTTTTGGAGTCAGTTGCTGGTGAATTATAAAATTTAGGAGGCATTATGTTATCTTTATATATTTCTTGTATTCCTGTGTTGGGTTTTATACATGTATTGGAATGGATTTCTCTTCCATTTTGTGTGGAATGTGGGCTTTTTTAGGGACAGCATTCTCTTGCCAAAGTGTTCTAGAGTGATCTGAATTGAGATTCCTCATAGGTATGGTGTCCACAGCCTTTGTGTTAATTCCGTTTGTGTTTTAAGAGTGTATGTCCATTGGTGAGACCTGGAGAAGTATGGCTAAAGTTTGAGCATGATTAAATTTGTGTGTAGAGTAAGGTGCACTGTCTTTTGCCTGGGTTTATTAGCCGAGCAGCATCTCTGTACTATGAACTTGTAGTGTTCCAATAGATTCTCAGCACCTTTCTGAGAAATAGTGTCTCCACTACTTGAATCCTGAGCCACAGAGCAATTGGAAATGCAGCCTTTCTCTAATTTGCCATTGCTTGGCCCCAAGCCTGTTTGAATTGGCATGGATTACTAACCATGCCTTTTTATTGTAGTAAAATACATATATAACATAAAGTTTGCCATTTTAACCATTTTTAAACGTATAATTCATTATATTCACAATGTTGTGCAACCATCATCAACCTTATCTATTTCAAAATTTTTTATCATCCTAAACAGAAGCTCTGTATCACTAAGTAATAACTTCCCATTCTTCCTTCCCCAAGTCCCTGGTAACCTCTACTTTCTGTTTCTATGAATTTGTGTATCCTAGATATTTTTATAAAATGAAATCATACAATATTTATCCTTTTGTGTCTGGCTTATTTCACCTAGAATTTATGTTTTCAAGGCTTATCCATGTTGTGGTATGTATCAGAGCTTTCTTCCTTTTTATGGCTGGTCAATGTTTATAGCATATTTATACCACATTTTGTTTATCCATTCATCTATTGGGGAATACTAGGTTGTTTCCACTTTGGGCTACTGTGAATAATGCTGCTGTGAACACTGGCATATATTTATCTTTTTGAGTCTCTGTTTTTTTATTGTTCAGTTGTAGGAGTTTTTAAATATATATTCTGTGAATTCAAGACTTAATGGATGTATGATTTACTAGTATTTTCTTTCATTTTGGGTGATGTCTTTTCATTTAGTATCCTTTGAAGGACAAAAGCTTTTCATTTCAATAATATACAATTTACCTATTTTTTGGTACAGGCATTGAAAATTCATAGAAACACCAAGTGCTTTGATGCAGTCATCAAAAATAGGTAAATTGAATATCATTTAAATAAAAAAAAACATAAACATTATACTTAAATGGCAATGTATTTTAAAACTAATTTGTAACTTCTACATTTGGAAAAGAAGTAGTTCTATATACTTAGCAGTGCATGTACTGATCAAAGAAGGGTTAAAAAAGCTTATCTCTATTGAAAGCTTTGGTCCTCCAAAATATTTTCATAATAAATAATCTTTTTTTTTTCAGGTAATAAATTGCAGTTTATATTCACTAATATTGATCCTAAGCATCCTGAGCGCCCCTTTATGTTTTCTCTGCATCTAAATGAAGCAAGAGACTATGAAGGTATGTACTTAAATTTCTTAATTTGTGCTTAAGATTGGCATCCCCGGTTGTTATTTGAATCAGAATGTAAAGTAATATGAAGGTAAATAGTATTCCCAGAAGGCATTGCTTCCTTCACCAGTGTTGCTTCTTGAGATTTGTCTTCTATAGGATATGAATATCATTTTAATTTATAGATATCATCTTGGAGCTTTAATAAGTAACATATCTTCAAGATGACATAATGGCTGAAAAGTCTAGAAGACCAAACATTACTATACTTCATGTGCAAATATGAACTACCCTTTTAAGAATTCAAAGCTAACGTTATAAAGAACATAAAGAATATCTCTACCTGAATGTGAATATTATAGTTTAGTCAAGTCAGCAACTTTAAAATCATATGTAAAATCATCATAATGTGATCATTTGCTTTCCCAAAAATAAATTTAAATAAACAAACTATCCCATCCTGAAAATCTCACACATTGATAATGTAGGTTAGTTATTGATTCTGTAGCAAGCCGAAAAACCTTTGATTTCTAGGGAATGTATCTATGATTGCTAATAGCATGAACAATGAAAGAGTGGAAATATGTTTATCTCTTTTTTATTCTAATGGCCCTGTACAAGTAATTAATTTATCAGAATTCAAAAAAAAAAAAGAAAGAAAAATGGCCGTATGCAGTAGTGCACGACTATAATCCCAGCAGCTCTGGAGGCTGAGGCAGGACGATTGAGAGTTCAAAGCCAGTCTCAGCAAAAGCAAGGTACTAAGCAACTCAGTTAGACCCTGTCTCTAAATAAAATTCAAAATAGGCTGGGGATGTGGCTCAGTGGTTGCATGTCCCTGAGTTCAATCCCTAGTACCAAAAAAAAAAAAAAAAAGATCATCATACCTATGCTATCATTTAAAGTATTTCTAGCTGACAGACACTTCAGTTAGCTGCAGAGTTAGCTCTGGTTGTGCCCTCGTGACTCAGTTGAATATATATTTTGAGAATCTAATTAATCTGTAATTGCTTGGTTTCTTTTTTTTCTTCTTTAGTAAATATCTTCCAATCTAATGAGTGCTAGATTTTAAAAGGCAAACTCAAAAAATTCTTACCTAGCTCTTCAAATTTCTGTAAATTATAATTCCTTTATTAGCTTATAATTTCATAGTATTTCATAGTGTATTAAAGTAGAATCCACAGGATAAATTTTGAACCCATGCTTTTTGCTATTATGCCTCTGCTATGATCATGGTCTTTGTCCTCAGCTATTTCTACTGAAGAGCTGGAAATCCAGTATGGTTGAATTTCTTCCCCTTGAACAGAAAACAATTTGATGGTAGAGAAAGCTGGATCATTCTTTTTCTTTGATCACCGTCACTGGAGACTTGTTCCTTGTGCATCATCTGGTATTCTACATATGAGAATACCATATATATATTATATATATATATTATTTGTGACTTTGAGTCTCACTTGTTTAATAGGCTGTAAATACCATTTCTGGAATAGCATCCATTTCTAATGACTTCCATTTTATTTGTAAGTAAAACCTTAGGTATTTCTTTATAATTGAAGTTATTAGGGAATGACATTCAAAGTTGTTCTCTTTTTGATTCAGTGGCCTGAAACTAGAAGTCATTTAGACCAAAGTTTTGCAGAGAAAAATGACTTGAGAGTTAAATTGTTAAGACAGTTTAAGTACCTAAAAATAATATATATAGGTCTAAGATGTGGGAAATGGCATTCTGCATCACTAAGCTCTTCAATCCCTTGAATACCATCTGTTTAAATTTAAAACAGGTTTGTAGTATTTAAGATTTGAATATTTAGAGATTAAACAAAGGAAAGGTCCAAAAGATAGTTAGCATGTGAAAATCAAGTGTATCATTTTGTGCTGAAAGCATTTTCAGAGAAATGTAATTAACATTCAAATCAAATGAAAGCATCTACATTAGAAATACTCTCTTCCACACACAGTAAAACACTCATTTATATTATTTTCTTTTTTTTTTCCTTCTAGTATCAGATAGTGCTCCTCATCTTGAGTGCCTAGCAGAATTTCAAGAGAATGTAAGGAAGACCAACAATTTTTCAGCTTTTATTGCCAATGTTCGGAAAGCGTTTACTGCTATGGTTTATAATTAATGTATAAATGTATATAACAAGGTTGGTTTTTTTGTCATTTCTTTATAAAAGAATGCCCATCTTATTGTCTGGCTATAGTTCTTTGGTGTTTTTGTGATATTTATGTGGTATGAAGGAAACAAGCATATATTACCTCAAAATATTCCTCTTTGACATAAATACCTAATTAGAGCTGAAGATGGTCAAGAAGCAGAGTCAGAAAAGCTACCTTCCCTCCTGCTATTTGCCTTGAAGCAGAATGTAAAATATGATAATTTGCTTTCCCAAAAATAAGTTTAAATAAACAAACTATCCCACCCTGAAAATCCCACACATTGATAATGTATGTTAGCTATTAATTCTGCAGTAGACTGAAAAGCCTACTTATTAAAGTTCCAAGATTATATCTATTAAGGAAAGACAGAAGTTAATCACTGAAGAGAGCTATCATTGGCTCAGAACAAACCTGCTTCATTGATTTACTCCCCTTAACTTACCTTCCCTGTTTCCCACATCTAGAAGCCCAAACTCTTTCCTTTGTCTTGCCACTTTTCTAAAAACATTACTCTTTGTTGAAGATGAACCAGAGTTCTAAACCACTGCTTTGAGTTATCTTTCACTGAGGTTAGGAGACCTTAATAAACCTTGTTTTTCCTTTTATTAACCTGAGTTTTGTTACAGGGGTCTGTGCACAATATAAACTTGAGGGTTGAAGATAAATTATGTTTCATCCCTGAAAGGTGTATTTCTTTAAAATATTTAATTAAAATCTTCAGGAGTATTGATAAGGTAAAATGTGTCTTTTAAAAATGAAAAATAGTTAATAAGTATATGCTTTTATTTGTTTGGTACTGGGGATTGAAACCAAGGGTGTTTTACCACTGAGCTACATCCCTAGCCGCAGCCCTTTCTTTCTTTCTTTCTTTCTTTCTTTATTTTGAGACAGGATCTCATTAAGGTGTGAGCCTACTATCTTAGCCTCCAAAGTTGCTGGGATTATAAGTGTATGCCACCACAATTGGCTGTTTGTTTGTTTTAAAGTATCAGAGTCGGGTAGTTTATTCCTAGCACTGAGATTGAGAATTTGTACACTGTGCCTTACTATTCTCTAAGCTTGTGAAGGTCATTCAAAGATTTAAAAAATGGGCCAAATTTGGAGTTGATAAAGTACTTGGCAAAATAAAGATTACTGTCTACTATCATCCTAATATCATAAGAAAAAGAGAGAAGAATATTTTTTCTTACACTAAGAAGGATCTGCCCCTAGAATAAAAGATAATCCTTTACTTCAGAAGAAGATTGGCAATATCCTACTAAGATATCCAGAAAAGGGCATATTTTCAAAATTTCAAAGGCAAAGATTTAATTGTAATATTTGTACCATGTAATTCTGGTCTGTATATAAGTTAACCACATTGAGTCTATTTAACACAGACTAGATCCACATCTTGATTTGTTCCAGAATCTAGTTTTTGTCACCATCCTTTCCTTGTATATTTGATTGTATGTAGGTGTGCTGAAGTTGCATAATAATGTTTCAAGATATCATGGGCACAATTAAAAGACCATAGAATAAAGGATTCCATGGTCCTTCTGCTGTCTTCTCTCTAAATAGTCAGAATTGAGCCAGTTAGTAATAGGAGTAGGAAAGGAGTATCTCCACTCCTGCTTTGGATGTGGCTCAGGGCTTTGCTCAGATAAACAGTAGAATTTCTTTGAGAAGAATGCAGTGAACTGGTAGAAATGTGTTAAGTGCCTCATACTAGTAGACATTCCAGCTTTTAGGAACTGCTGGTTTGTATTATTTCTGTAGTGGTCAAAGTCTAATAAATTACCCTAGTGTGCTATTCTGCTTTGTGTCACTGTGACCAAAGTACCTGACAATAACAACTTAGAATAGGAAGAATTTATTTTCCCGCACTGTTTCAGAGGATTCACTCTATGTTTGGCTAGCTCCAAGGTAGAATATCATGATGGAAGGGCGTGGCAGAGAAAAATTACTCAGCCCATACCAACAGAAAGTAGAGAGAGGAAGGAATCAGAAGACAAACCCTTCCAGGGAGAGAAGACAAACCCTTTCAGGGCTTGCCCCCAGTGACCTACTTCCTCCAAAGAGGTCTCATTTCCCAACAGTACCTGCAGTCATCAGTGGACTAATCCATAGGAACCCTCATGATCTAATCACCTCCCCAAAGCCCCACCTCTGAGCACATGAGACCTGGGGAGGCTTTCCAGATCCAAACCATACCTTGAGATTAGAATATATAATCTCAATACCTTGAGATTAGAATATGTGTAACTAATAATAGGCTTATCCTATTTCAGAAGGGGCTTGGCTAAAGAGAGCACAATAATTCCCCCTTATCTATGGGGGATACCTTCTAATACCACCAGTGGATGCCTAAAACCATGGATAATGTCAAATCCTGTATATACTAGTTTATATACCTATGATAAATTAAACTATAAAATAGGCACAATAAGAAATTAACAATAACTAATGCAACATAGAACAATAAAATAGACCATAAAAAAGTCAAATAAGGGCCCTGCACAGTGGTACACACGTGTAATCCCAGTGGCTCGGGAGGCGGAGGCAAGAGAATCAAAGCCAAAGAGTTCAAAGCCAGCCTCAGCAATTTAGCAAGGCACTAAGCAACTCAGTGAGACCCTGTCTGTAATAAAATACAAAATAGGGCGAGGGATGTGGCTCAATGGTAGAATGCCCCTGAGTTCAATCCTCAGTACCCCCCCTAAAAAAGTCAAATGAAGCTTACTTGAACTTAAGCACTATGATATCATGACAGTCAACCTGAGAGCAGAGACCACTACTAAGTAACTAAAAGGTATCATACAGCATGGATATGCTGGAAAAAAAGATGTTTCACCTGATGATGCATGATGGTACCAGATTTTATCAGGCTACTCAGAATGGTACACAATTTAACAATTTATAATTTATTTCTGGAATTGTCTATTTAAATTTTCAGATCACAATTAACCGTGAGTGACTGAAACTGTAGAAAATGAAACTGCAGATGAGATCACAGTATTTTAATAGAGTACAATGAGCAAACTCTAGTTTTCCTTGGGCAGACTTTTACATTTGGCCTTATTTAATCTATCTACATTTAAATGAATATATGCAATGATATCAAGACCCAAGTTTAGTTTTTGTGAAAATAGCTTGACTTAGAGTTCAAATTTTATCATCATGATCCATTTCTTAGCTATTTCTTCTGGGCTGAAGCTCTATGTGATGGATCCCCACAAATTTCAATTCCTCCCAGTCCACCAAATACTAGTGACTGAGGTGATATGTGCATATGCTGAACTATACTAGATCCCTTCAAAAGTCCAGGTGTGGAGGCAGTTTAACCTTGGAAAATGGGTTAAGGGTGGGGATGTAGTTCTGCAATGGGAAAGAAAACAGATGTGTGGCATCCAAATATATCAGATGACCACAACAATGAAGTCATGGTTACTGAATTTCTCTGCTTGAAGTATATCCTCAATTATACTTAAAACTTGGGGGAAGATCTTTATTTATTGAAACTAATGGAAAGACATGTTCCATACCACAAACGTGGTGATCTAATGTTTTGAACCACATTAAGAAGACACTAGGGCTGGGGATGTGGCTCAAGCGGTAGCGTGCTCGCCTGGCATGCGTGCGGCCCGGGTTCGATCCTCAGCACCACATACAAACAAAGATGTTGTGTCTGCCGAAAACTAAAAAATAAATTAAATTCTCTCTCTCAAAAAAAAAAAAAAAAGAAGACACTAGGCATTGATACAGTTTGCTTAGCAAGAAGAAATTCTCTAGAATCTCTTGCATCTGTACATTTGAGAAATGAGAATTGAATGTACATTCCAAGAAGTTTATCTAATAGTCACAAGAATGTTGGATCAGATACAAAAGTTCAGGTATAAGGCTATTAAAGTTCTCAAGATGATAGTTTTGGTGGTTAACCTACAACATTGAATCTTTCCAAGTCATGATGTTCTAGTCAGCCAAGGTCAAGCAATCTGCAGACCTTTAATATAGATACAGCTTCTTTGAATAACTTCATACTCCCCTGCAAGGGTAAGAAATGGATCTCTCCCCTATTAGAGCCACTTTTCTTCAAGGAATAGTCATCCATTGCTTCTAAATGGGGAGTGGGGTGCAGTTGTTGCACAATCTGGGAATAAAAACCTATAGCAGGAAAGTCACAAAATGACTGTGTGGAACAATATGTGCTGCTGGGACCCAAAACTATATAAAGAAAAGTACATTGTCATGCCAAGCAAAGCACCTTGGGCCATGGCAATTTCTTTTGACTTGTTTTTCTCAACAGGAAAGTCTACTCCTTCTATGAACCCAGCCCAACCCTTTTCTAAGTCCTTTACACATATCTGCTCATTTGCATTCTCTCAACCTGTGAGGTATATACTATCAGTAACCTTGTTCTGCAAATAAGGAGTCCAAAGAACTGTGTTTAAGAAACTTCAAGTCACACAGCTGATGAATGTTTGACTTGAGATTTAAACTCAAGAGTTTGGCACCTGAGTCCATGAGCTTTACCTAGACTGCAGTATACTACTGCCTTACGCAAAGACAATGTTCTTTTTTTCTTTTTTCATTTTAATTGAACCTTTACTTTATTCATTTGTTTTTATGTGGTGCTGAGGAATGAACCCCCAAAGTGCCTCACCCATGCCAGGCAACTACACTGAGTATCACTGAGCTACAGCCCCAGCCACCACAAAGTTCTTAACAGTTAAGATTTGTTAAGGAAATAAGTTAGCATAGGTATATGAGCTGGGAGAAGGGGGAGACAGGACAGGGGAACAACTGTAAAAGGGCCACTGACTAGTCATTGACCCAGAGATACCATTCTTACTCCACATTCCAGAAGGAGGATGAGGGTCAAATTGCCCTGAGGGTCAGCTGACTCCTATATGATACTCTGCTTGCATCACTAGGCCAGAAAGCACTTAATGACACAAATACACAGACATAGGTCCTCAGTTTTCAAAAAGTACAGGTATATGACCTTCAAACAGACAGCAACTACACAAGGCATCAGGCCCCAAAGGGCA